CCCACAATATTTTGAATAGGTGGAGGAATTACTTCCCTCAGTTATTGAATGTACATAGGGTCAGTGATGTTAGGCAGACAGAAATTCATACAGCGGAGCCGTTAGTACCTGATCTTAGCCATTTTGAGGTTGAAAGTTCTATTGCAAAATTGCGAAGTTATAAATCGCCAGGTAAAATGTAAAGTAGGTAAAGTAAAGCTACCTCTGTAACAGGCCGTGAAGGCCCTTGGGGTTGTGAGGCGTTGAGGATCCCATATTATCTAGATAATAGGCCCAAAGTTGGCGGTAACGTTGTCAGCCGCGCTTTATAAATCGCCAGGTAGTGATCAAATTGCGGCAGAACTTATTCAGACAGGAGGTGAAGTATTACGTTCTAAGATCCATAAGCTAATTACTTCCATTTGGCATAAGGAAAACTTGCCAGATCGGTGGAAGGTGTCTGTTATTTTACCAGTTCGAAAGAAGGATGATAAAACTGACTTTGTAATTATCGGGGGATATCACTGCTACAAATTTCATACAAAATTTTATCCAATATTCTTCTCTCAAGGTTAAGTCTATATATATATATATAGGTGAAATTATTGGGGTTCATCAATGTTGGTTTCGATGTAACAGATCAACTACCGATCAGATATTTTGCATTTGTCAGATACTGGAGAAAATATGATGGCACAGTGAGACAGTATATCAGCTATTCATAGACTTCAGGAAAGCCTATGATACAGTTAAGAGGGAAGCATTGTACAATATACTGATAGAGTTTTGGACACCCATGAAATTAGTTAGGATGCTTAAAATGTGTTTAAACGACTCTTGCAATAAATTCCGTATAGGTGAACAACTGTCCGCTATATTCGTATTTTCTATCCAGATCGGCCTAAAACAAGGAGATACTTTATCGCCACTCCTCTTCAACTTTGTTTTAGAATATGCCATTAGGAAGGTCCAGGGAAACCAGGCGGGACTGAAATTAAACGGAACACATCAGCTGTTGGTCTACGCCGATGATGTGAATCCACTGGGTGATAATGTAGATACATAAAGAAAAACACAAAAACTTCAATTGACGCAAGTAAAGAGGTTGGTCTAGAAGTAAACAGAGAAAACTAAGTATATGTTACTGTCTCGTCACCAAAATGCAGGGCAAAATCATGAAAAAAAAAAAAAGGATAGGAAACAGATGTTCTGAAAATATGGCACAGTTCATATATTTGGGAGCAAAGTTAACAACTCAAACCTGATTCAGGAGGAAATTAAGAGGCGATTGAACTCGGATAATGCTTACTACCATTCAGTCCAGAACCTTTTGTCTTCTCGTCTGCTGTCCAAAAACATAAAAATTAGAATATACAAAATTATAATTTAGCCTGTGGTTCTGTATGGGTGTGAAACTTGGTCTCTGATATTAAGGGAAGAACATAGACAGAGGGTGTTTGAGAACAGGGTGTTGAGGAGAATATTTGGACCGAAGAGGGATGAAGTTAGAGGAGGTTGGAGAAAACTGCATAATGAGGAGCTTCATAACTTGTACTCTTCTCCAAGTATAATTAGAAGGATCAAGTCAAGGAGTATGAGGTGGGCAAGTCATGTAGCACGAATGGGGGAGAAGAGGAATGCGTATAGGATATTGGTAGGAAAGCCAGAAGGAAAGAGACTACAGGGAAGACCAAGGCGTAGGTGGATGGACAATATTAGAATAGATCTTAGAGGGATAGGATCGGATGGTATGGATTGGATTGATCTGGCTCAGGATAAGAATAAGTGGAGGGCTCTTGTGAACACTGTAATAAATCTTCGGGTTCCATAAGATGCTGGGAAATTCTTGAGTAGCTGCAGAATTTGCCGATCCGCAAGAATGTCTCATCTCCGTTAGTAGGTAAGTAAGTAAGGTGCTCATACCCAAAAATTTTCCGCACTTTTCAGTTACCCTCTGTGAGTAGATCTTAAATGTTTCTGAAAGCAGATTAAATTACTCTTCTTTGGATACACGTCAGGCCCTGAATATTAAAGTCTGTAGCTTTTCCAAGGTATCCTGAATCATACGTAAGAGCCTGAACACTACTGCCACCTACCATTTCTCAGTCTATCGTTGGCATCCCTGCTGCATCCACAACTAGCACTCACGGTTAGGTTAAGAAAGATAATTAAAGGATTTAATTTTCTTTAGGTGGGAGCCGCTATAAGAATCACGCAACTCAGGTGTTTGATAGGTGGGATGCAGGTGCCGAAAACTGGAAGGGTCGTTCATTTTGAAGCACTTGAATAGTAACATTTATTCCATTACTATCTCTGGTAAAGTTCTTTTGTGATTAATTTAGATAGAGCAGGACGCATGACAGACTTCTGCACTGTCAGAAAGCTTGATAGGAAGTTCTCGGTTTGGAATTGCGCTGCACCCACGTGATGGAAAGTCAAAGTGTCTGACCCTCAGTGGCAGAAGGGTAGATGAAGTTCCGTGTTGTAATTGGAGCATTTCGAATAAGGCAACTGCGTCATCATTACTCCAGTTTAACGCCCATGTGCTGGAAAAGGTACCGTACCAATTCCATATTTTTTATTTTTTATTTTACTTGGCAGTACAGCCCCGTGGGCGTAGGCCTACCTCCATGAACTTCTCCGTTCACTTCTGTTTTTCTAGATCTTACACATTCGGTAGGACTCCTTGGGCGGGTGGTCAGCTCGTCGCAAGGCCTCTACCTGTACACAAACACAGATAAACGCACACACACACAAACTAAACATCCATGCCATGAGTGGAATTAAAACCCACGATCACGGTTTCCAAGCGAGCGAAGACAGTATATGCCTTAGACCGCTCGGCTACCGTGACCGGCACCAATTGCATATACCTGGTGTTAAATTCTGGGGTTGAGTTGCTTTGCCGATTTCCAGAGTAGCCGAATGACCAATCAAATGTCAAAACCTGGACTTCTTGTTACTGCCGAAAGCCAAGAAATTGTATAAGACCACCGTGGTACATGGACAACACAATGGAATACGATGCTACAATATTCACGTTAAAGTTTGGTAGAAGCCAAAATATAATATTCATGTAACAAATCTCGAAATAAATTAATACCCGAGGATATACGCGGTAACGTAGTTAGTTGAGGCACTATGCTATAGGTCGCAGGATCGAATCCCAATGTGGTGGATTTTTCAATTGACTAATCCTTCCAGCTGCGCTATGGCCCTGGGGTCGACTCAGTCTCTTAACAGATATGAGTACCAGAAATATTCTTGGAATATTTTGGGGGGTAAAGGACCGCCGGCGCGTACAGCTGACAATCGTACCGCTACATATGAGCCGATTGTCTAAAAAATATGGGAACCTCAACAACTCACAACCCTATGGGCCTCCACGGCCTGTTACAGGGATACTTTTATTTTTTTCATTTTCTTTTTCCCGATGATATAAATGGTGTATCAAAAAGTTCCAGAAATTTGAAATTTGCACGCGAATGGTTATTAGTACATCGAAATACCGCGAGGTGTCTCCCCACCACCCTTCTTGAATCAGTGTGGCAAGCGGCGTCGAGTTGATTTGTTGGATTTATTGTTGGTGAACGTATTTCCATTTTGTTTCCGTGAGTTTGCGGTTTTGCGATGGCTGACCTGAGAGAGCAGCGTGTCTGTATAAAGTTCTGTTTTAAATTTTTGAAAACCACTGCAGATACGCACCAAATGTTGAAGGAAGCTTTTGGTGAAAACAGTGTAGGCCAGACGCAAACTTACGACTGGTGTAAGCGTTTCAAAAATGGCCGAACATCGACTGTTGATGACGATCGTTCGGGAAGGCCGTCAACTGACACCACATCAGAAAATGTCGCGAAAGTTAGGGATCTAATTGTTCAAGATCGTAGACTGACCATCCAAGATCTCTGTAACACCTTGGGACTAAGTTATAGTACATGTCAGAGGAACTGAACATGAGGAGGACTGCGGCGAAGTTTGTGCCACGACTGGTGCAAAATGAACAGAAGCAGCATCTCTTGGAAGTCTGCAGGGAACTTCAACAACAGCTTCAAGAGGATCCAAACTTTCTTTCGGAGGTTGTCACTGGCGACGAAAGTTGGGTTTATGGCTGCGACCCTGAAAGTAAGCAGCACTCGTCACAATGGGAGAGCCCTTCTTCACCTCGGCCAAAAAACTCGACAAGTCAAGAGCAACATTAAGTCCATGTTGATCTGGTTTATTGATATTGACGGGATTGTTCATAAGGAGTTCGTCCGTCCTGGTCAGACAGTCAATAAAAAGTTCTATCGCGATGTTCTAAGGCGTTTGAGGGAGGACACGAGGGGAAAACGTCCAGAGAAGTGGCGCATGAACGACTGGGTACTCCACCATGACAACGCACGACCGCATACGGCTTACATTGTGCAGGAATTTTGGGCTAAAAACAAGATGACAGTTGTTGCCCATCCACCGTATTCGCCAGACTTAGCTCCATGCGACTTCTTTCTCTTCCCCAAGATGAAAATGAAGTTGAAGGGGCGAAGATTTGATACAGTTGAGGAAATTCAAGCCGAAACGCAGACGGTACTAAACGCCCTAACAAAGAAAGACTTCCAGGATGCATTTCAAATGTGGCAGAAACGCTGGGATCGGTGTATGCGCTTCCAAGGGGACTACTTTGAAGGTGATGATGCAGAATAAGAACTACGTAAGATGTAATAGTTTTTATTAATATATTTCGGGAAGTTTTGGATAGCACCACGTAATTAAAAAAAAATGATAAAGTGATTTGATTGATCAGCGACATTAGATGTCTGTAGTTTATCCACGGTGTTCTGGCTTATAAAATTTGCAACTCGTTAGACCCTGAATACTACAGAATATATATTAGTATTTGAGAATTAAATCTCTATAATTTTCCATAATACCCTGTCTCGTACAATTTGCAACACTACAAATCTGTTGTCTTCCACGACACTTTGGCTCATAGGCTTTGGAACACTTTAGACGCTTAACACTACAATTTTTTAATTTGTTCACAGTACCCTGGCCCACACGATTCACCCATACGGCCCACTACACTTCTACACCGCCACAAAATATGCTGTGAGTGCGTTGACTGAAGGTGTGCGGCAGGAACTTCGAGAAACAAAGGCCAGGATCCGAGTTACGGTAGGAAGTACTGATCATATCTGCATACTAAGAACCAGCATTATCAACATAGTTGAAGTCTGCACGTTCGTTTCCAAATACATGATCGTTTGAAGCTTCGGAAAGTGTGCGCATGGTGGGTGCCCACAGAACTGAAGGACTGAGAAAAAATTAACCGAATATCTTCTACAGTGTGCAGATGAAGGAGAAGATATTCTTAACAGGACTGTTACTGGGGTCGAACCATGGGCCCATCACCAACAACACGAACCAAATAGTACTTCATTGCAGTGGAAACTTCCTGGTTCACATTCAGCCAAAAAGTTTAGGGTTACGCCTTCGCTGGGAAGGTTATGCTTACCGTATTTTGGGGTTTTGTGAGAGTACTGTTAGCTCAGTTTCAGAAACGTGGTGAAAATATGTATTCTATATCGTACTCTGTAGTTCTGTTAAAGCTGCACTATGTAATTCGCAATTCATAATAGTGCCAGACCCCATACAGTCCGAGCAACTCAGGGGAGATTTCAAAAACTACAGTGGGAACCTCTTGAACATCTGCCTTACAGCGCGGACTTGACCCTTAGTGACTTCTATCTGCCTGGTCCGCTAAAAACCATCCTTATGACAAACGTTTATCTGATAACGAAGAGGTTGAAATGTAGGTGAGGAAATGACTGAGATTGTTCTGCCGTAGAAGGGGGGGCTAGGTAAATTCATTGATCCCTTCGGCGTTTGCCTCTTTGGCTTTAAGTTCGCAGTTCTCCTGGGACGCTTGGGTGATGCAGGAGGCGATAGGGGAAGGGTGTGCGAAGTGTGGGATGGGGTCCATAAATGTTATACCACATTCCTATTCTACTCTATTCATCTATAACCCTACATACATACAAGAAATGCCGACGGTTGTCGGGTTTACATTTCACGTAGATTGTTAATAACTTCTGTACGGACATAGTTATATTCATCTCACCCGTCTCCGGGTCTCCTATACCTCTCTCTCCCTGCTCTCCTCTCTCTGTCTCTCTCTCTTACACCATGCCGCGGTCCGTGCTTCGGCATTCTTAAGCCTGTTTCATATAGTCCTCACTCCTGCTCCCTGGGGTTTGCACTTTAATAATGTTACCCTCAATTTTCTTGACTATAAGTAGTAGTTCCACTTATTTGCGGCAAGGATGCAGAAGAACGTCACCATCCAGCACTCTCTCAGTGTCATCTCGACGATAGTCTTCGGCCACAACTCTACTGAAAATTATTGATCGAATAGCCTTTCTAGTTTCCTCTAGTATTTTTGTATCTTCTTTTTGTTAACTCGTCAACTTCCGGGAGAGTGTACTCCTACCCGCAATGACATGATTTCGTCGGGGTGGCTAGCCCTCATTGACGGCCTGCCGAGAGGCCTGCCCGCCCCCTTCGACTCAGCATTCTTACCTCCAAGCGTCCTGCTTTCTGTGTAACGCGCTTCCGCCCAGTCAGCATTGCTACGCTGACGCGATACATTCATACATTCCATTTCATATTTCCTAACTGTATTTCAAAATACTTGTTCTAGTCTAGCCCCAGACATATTAACCATAGAAACATATTAACATTAAAAGCATAATACCTGCCGTAAACCTCATGGCATAATAGAGATAACAGTCGAAATACTACTATGCTGCAGATTTCAGCGCACCGGTAAAACGATGGGTTTCGTGATTTATTTACTAACCTCCCCTCGTATAATCACTTCCCAATTCAGAGACTCTCTTCGTGAAGGTTCAAAATGAAAGCTAAATATATCCTTGTCTCTTTAGCGGTGCATGTCTTTCAACTCAACACAGATTCTTTGGATGGCACACTTCACTCAGAATTTCGATCTGACTTGGCGACCACATCCAACATGATCCTTCCGTTGCCATAGACTAGTCGCACTCGTTGACTCCCCCATCTAGCTTTTCTTTTCTAAAAGTCAGAGAAATGTTACTAGAATCCAAAAACGAAAGACCGGAAATCTGTAATTCACATCACCTCTTCGACACCAACAATGGGTTGATACCGCCGAGGCTTTCTGCACGTTTAGCAACTTCAGTTTCCACAGCAGCACACTTCCACTTTCCAGTCATGGTGTGATCTCACTCAGACTGCTGACCTATAGCACTGCCGTGCCTGTATAAACTTAAAGATCGGATTATCACAAGTGCCGACTGGGTGGGTTTCCCTCATCTGTGACTCTTTAGGACCGAACGTTTCCATATGTTGACTTCATAGTGGGGTTCATAGGAAATCAAGAACAGCCATCAATTTCGACCGTGTTTCCACAAAACAAATCCGCCCGGTCCGCTGACTATCTCCGTCCCACCAGCAGCTGCGCTCCAAATCACAAGGTGCAGCCAGCTCTCCGACTGCTTCGGGAATACCTTCTCCATCCCAAGGGGCAATGGAGGAGTTTCGGGCAGAGATCAGAACAATGTTTTATGATCTCTCAGTAGTTACTAACCTCAGTACAAAGTAACATGCAACAAAAACAACAAGCACAACAAGAACATAACATAAAATCGCAATATGAGATACCCACTCAGGATCGCCATTAAGAAGAACCACTAGATCCTGAGCTTCAATTGAATTCTATCCTCGAGGATCTCCCAACAACACCTCCAGTACCGGAATCATCCTGGATTTAAATCTTCAAACTTGCAAAGGAGTTGAAGCGACGGGCTACGCTCATGACTTCTGGACGTGACATCCATGATATTCACACCACTCTTTTCCTGGTAGCCCAATGGCCCGATTTGCATCAAGTAGCTCGCAACTACACGGCCCACAGACTACGACTGCTTTACATAGCGGTAACAAAAAGATGGCCCGCCGCCCTTTACTGTGACCCCCAACCCCGGGGAAAGTCATCCACACGCCTGGGCAGAGGAAAGTGGACCTAAGAACAGCGCCTTCAAGAAACCTAGGAGACTAGCAGTGTCAAGGATCTCTTAAGATCTACCTTTATAAAATTGTAATATAATTTTGTAATTTTTATATATGAATAAAGTCCCATCGGGACAATCTGAATCACTTTGATCCTGTGCTGACTGCCGTCTGGTTGACTATTCTAGGGCTGGGGTGTACTCCCTGGAAAGGGGGTCAGCCAAGTTCATATGCGAGGGCACACATCTGACTACCAGGCCGTGGCCTGCTTTATTTTTAAGTTCGCACATCTTTACGAACAAATCCTGGAGAAGGGACGAAGCTCGAAAGGTGCGCCCTGTCCCTTTTACAAAAGTGTGGTATACTACCATATAGTCAGTGTATATGGTTAATAATGTGAGTTGACTGAGGATGTCCCTGAAGGTCAATATGGCTCCCAGTAGTGCTGCCGCAATCTTTGCGAAGGCAATCTGCCTGTGGTCTGTGTAGTGCTGTGACATGGAAATTATTGGAGGTCCCACGGACACTGCTGCCACTGATGTGGGTGTTTGGTCTGTACATAGCTGTCTTGAGAACTTAGGTTGCTGGAGTTTGGAAGGTCTGTGGAGGAGTCACTTGCGGTGGAATGTGCTGATCCTATAAGTGTCCCAGGAGGTTGGCCAGGAACAATGGCCAGCAAATGGCGTGGCATAGCCAGGATGCATATCCAACTATGCGGTGAAGGCCCTTTGAGAAGCGATAGGGACGATCGTCGCAAGCTGAAGATGCTGGCTGCACACCACGGTTGATTGAATTGTGAGAGGGCGTGTACTCCGAAAGACGGCAGTCCCGCCGTACAGAAGTGGCACGACGCAGGAGAGATGCCTTCAAGAAGGAAACTACCCAGGGAACTTTCGGATGCCGGAGAAAGGAATTGGCCGTCGACAATAGTCTACACCGTCTCTGCAAGCAGCCTTATGACGAGTCTCAACCACTGCGGGGTGCCCGTAGCAGCGTACAGAAACCAGCAGTGGGCACTGTTGCGCCACCTTCTCGTACCAGCAAGTGGCGGGAAGACCAGGAGGAAGGACGACGTCAGGAAGTGCAAACAACACTTCAAGTGCTGTTACGTCGACATAAGGAACTTCCGAAGAAAGACATGATCAAGGACTGGACCTTGTGGAGGGGTCGATCCCCTCCAAAACGAAAAAGAAGCAGAGCACAGAAGAGGAGCCGGTAAATTAGAAGCACTGGCCTCCCAAGCAGGAGTGAATGTGCGATGGGGTGAATGTGATACAACTGGATCTTCTGGAAATTTAACAGGAAACCGCTCGAGACGAGCTGGTCTTACAAGGGGAGCGGATGTAACGGACGGAGGATAGTAGCTGCAAGAGGAGTAGCCCGACAAGAATGAAGAAGACGTTGCAAGAACAGCCTGAAAATAAAAGGAAGTGGGATTCACCGTTAGGCTGATCGAGACGAACAGCCTTAAAGAGGGAGCAGTGTGACGCATTGCGCTATGGAGGACAGCTCCTCCCCCGCCAGCGGTGAAGTGGCGGCATCGGAGCGCTGTCGCTACTACTGTAACAGGCCAATCAACACTCCGCCCTCTTCCCCGCGATGACGTGGCAGAGGAGCGGTTATGTCAGGTAACCATTGCCCCGGTGACGTGCCTGGGGATGCCGCGGTTACTGCACAGCAGGAAACAACTCTAGACAGCGTTGCCCAGCAGCACCTGTAAACAGGTAACATGGCAACAGGGAAGCGAGGCGCTTTCCGTTGTCTGGCTGAGGGTTTATAAGAGAACTGCACTGCCTAAGGAGTCAGTTGAATTGGAACAGTCGGCGAGTTCAGTTGTAGCTGAAAGAAGAATACCGGAACGTGTGATTAGAAGTGATAGTGTGAGGAGGTATTTGGAGTGTGTAATACAGTGACACTGGTATAGCTCCCGTCAGGAGTCAGTTAAAAGGCAGCCTCCGCCGAAGTCAGTTGAAAGATAGCAGCAGTCGCTGGAAGAAGATCCGAACGCGTGGTTAGAAGATCTGATGTGATAATTGTGATACTGCCGATGGCAGTAATTGTTAGATTGTAAATTGTGTGATAGTGAGAGCGAGTGTTCAATAAATTCGCTATATCAAATATGGCGTGAAGTTACTTGTCGTCTGTCACACACTCGACACGTTACAATATAATCAAAATGTCATCATTACTTCATAGTCACATTTAGCTGTTAAATTAGAAGTCCGAAACATATCGAAGCCTTGACAATTATGAAGCACACAACTTGAAAACCGTGACGTTGTATGAATGTTTAATGGAAAATGAACCCGACTCTTAAAGTATTTTCTGTATGCATTTTGCAGAGCATTAGTCCCGGACTGGTGAAATCCAACATATTCAAGAGCTGCTTAGGAGCAGATGTTCACGATGCAGTATACAAGAAACCGTCTCTGAACCCCAGCGACGTGGCGTCAGCCATTGAGTACGCCTTGAACTCTCCCACGCATGTGCAGGTCAGTTTCGTTCATGATTATGTTAAATTTCGAAAGTATCATCTGCAGGACAGCCACAGACCCAGAATGTGTCCTTAAGTACTGGAGAAAGTAACGGTTTGGAAATATCACGTGCCACGTATGGAAGATAGACGGAGGCTGAAGAAAATTCTAAAATACAACCCAGAAAGAAAACGAAGCACAGGTCGCTCACAGTTAAGGTTGAGGGATTTGTATACTTTTCAAAATGACAGAACAGACAACATATAGCCTAATCCATGAAGATGACGTAAAAGGGGAGAATAAAGGACGCCTTGAATCAGTATGTCCCACTCATAGTCCCAGATTTTCCGATTAAGGAACTGCAGAACTAACCACCCGTCCGCTAAGTGGAACAGGAATTAAAAATCTCGTACATTCACTTTGATGTTTCCAAAAAATCTATCGTAGATTTTGGGGGGGGACTTTCCTCATTTCTCTATCATTCCTTCCTCCGATCATCCGCCGTTCTTTATCTTCGTCACCAATAAACGGGAGTTAAGAGTAAATAGTGCAAACTAAGCTCTTAGAGCTACTGTTTATGTCCCTGATCTCATATGAGGTTAGAAATGCAGTCCAAAGACGAACATCGCTATTTGCATTCTGCTATCACGTGACCAATTTAATGTGCAAGTAAAATTTTAACTGATTTTATATATACAATTTTCTGCCAATCTTCGTTCAAATTTGGATCTACAACCAATGAAGTGAGCAAAACAGGGTATTCGATAATGAGGAACTTTGTGAAGGGTGCTATTTTCTGGCATTTAACGCCGTGTAGTCCTTTCAAAGTCAACCGACTTTTCGGTGGAATATAACGCCTCCATATTGAGGTAGGAGAAGAGCTGAGCATGAAAGCAGGACGCAAACAGTGCTCTGCTTATCGCTCATGCTCGGCTTATTCTCCTACCCTTCAAATAAAGGCGATATGTTTCTTCGAAACGTCGGTTGACTTTCATCGCACCACACGGCTGTATCCTACACGATAAATTCGCGATTTATACGGGTCACCAATGCATTGTTTTTGATAGTTATATTCAGGAAGCAGTAATGGGCTGGCCATGTGGATGGATGGATGGAACCTGAGTACGTGATGTCCGATGATCCAGATAGTTTGTGTATTAATATGACTGGATTGTTCTTTTCGAAATATCAAACGTTCTTCTGTGTCATGAGAATCTTAATACTGTAACATGTTGACCCCTACCTCCCCAGCTGCACGTAGCGGTAACGTAGCGCTCGCGTAATAGTCGAGTAATCACCCCGCAACTCACCCCGCGGTGACGTCACGAGCGGCGCCGAGCGGAGCCGAAGTTAGCCGAGTCCTAGCATCCTGGTCGCTATGCAAAGCGAGTCAACAGCGATGACGTCACCAAGGGCAGCACGGGTAAACAGGATTGCGAGAGACGACGGTGGTAACAGCGGTTACTACCGCTAGCGTTACTAGCAACACAGCGCCAGGCAACAAGGGTGCTTATTACGTGGCCGTTTTCTGTATTGTCCGATCGAGGCTACATGAGGCGCAGCGAAGGCTATTCACAGTTAATCCTGGAGCTACCTACGAGTTAGTCCTGGAGCTACCTACGAGTCAGTCCTCGAGCTACCTCCGAGTTACTTCCGAGGTAGCCAGCAACCAGTCGGTTGTATTGTGGTATTTGGAGTGTAGTATTTGTGATACTGCAGATAGCAGTAGTTCTAAAACTGTCAATTGGGTGATTGTAAGTACGAATGTGAAATAAAATTCGCTATATAAAGTACGGCGTGAAGTTATTTGTCGCGCCATACGCCCAATACGCGACAACTGGTGTCAGAAGTTGGATCTGGACTTACACACGTGATCAACGAGATTCGAACTCGAAACACGTGACAATATGGTGTCAGAATTTTTATGAACTTAAACACGCCTGACAAATAATTGGATTGTTGTGCATCGAGTATTTGACTGCTACAAAATGGAGCAGGGCTTTCAACTAATGATCGAAATGCTGGCGAAGGTAGAGGCCGATAGGAAGGTTAAGAAGGAAGAGAGGGAGGAAAGTAGGAGGAAAGAGAAGAAAGAAAGGAAGGCGGAGAAGGAAGAAAGGAAGGCGGAGAAGGAAGCCTGGCGAGAAAAGATGGCCGCCTGGGGAGAAAAGTTGGATGCAGAAAGAAGAGCTATCCAACGGAGACGAGAGCCATCCAAGAAAGAACGGCCGCCATGCGAGAGAAGAGGTTGCAAGCCAATATGGATGCTTGGCAGAAAGAGACGACGGCCTGGCGAGAAACGACGGAGGCGAATCTAAATGAAGAAGTAACGAGGATAGCCTACCACGAGAGGGAGGTACGTCTAGAAGAGGAAAACCCGGCCACAGCGGACATAAAACCTGCGACGGCACAACAAGAAGAGGTCCCCATAGTGATACCGGTCGGCGTGACGATGGCCTACCAAGAAACGGAGGCACGTCCAGAAGATGAAAGCCGGCCTCAGTGCACAGGAAACTTGAGGCGGCAGAACTACTAGAGGTACCCGTACAAGACGCCGAAGTAATGCCGGTCAGAGAACCGAAGAAGAAAAGGCGCAGGGACCGCAATCGACGAAATAAGAAGAATCCGACTCGGGAAAATTGCGGACCCCAGAATAAATTGGCTGTCGTCAGCAGGAAGGTGTCCCGCCGTGCAAGAGTGTCATGGCGCCGGAGAATCATCTTCAGGAAATCTTGGACCCGAGGGGATCATGTGTCCCGGACAAAGTTGGCTGCCATCTGCAGGAAGATATCCCGTCGCGCGACAGTGGCACGATGTTGGAGAAATGATTTCAAGAAGGACTCTCCCCAGGGAACCTTCGGATACCGGAGAAAGGACTTGGCACCAAGGTCTCGCGCCAGCAAGTGGCTGGAAGACCAGAAGGAACGACGACGTCAGCGAGTGCAAACAACGCATCAAGAGCTGCTACGTCGATGTAAGAAATTTCCGACGAAAGACCTGATGAAGGATTGGACCTTATGGAGGGGACGACCACCTCCAAAGCGGAAAAAGAGACTTCAAGCAGAGGAGGAACCGGTAGTGTAGAAGTACCGGCCTTCCAAGGAAGGATGAAAGCGATGGATGAATGGGACACAACTGGATCTTCTGGCGAGCTGAAATGAATCCGCTCCAGACGAGCTTTGTCTTCAGAGGGGAGCGGATGTAACGGACGAAGAATAGTCGCTGCAAAGGGGTAGCCGAAACCCGAAGTTAGCCGAGTGCTAGCATCCTGTTCGCTATGCAAAGCGAGTCAACAGCGATGACGTCACCAAGGGCAGCACGGGTAAACAGGATTGCAAGAGACGACGGTGGTAACAGCGGTTACTACCGCTAGCGTTACTAGCAACACAGCGCCAGGCAACAAGGGTGCTTATTACGTGGCCGTTTTCTGTATTGTCCGATCGAGGCTACATGAGGCGCAGCGAAGGCTATTCACAGTTAGTCCTGGAGCTACCTACGAGTTAATCCTGGAGCTACCTACGAGTTAGTCCTGGAGCTACCTACGAGTCAGTCCTCGAGCTACCTCCGAGTTACTTCCGAGGTAGCCAGCAACCAGTCGGTTGTATTGTGGCATTTGGAGTGTAGTATTTGTGATACTGCAGATAACAGTAGTTCTAAAACTGTCAATTGGGTGATTGTAAGTGCGAATGTGAAATAAAATTCGCTATATCAAATACGGCGTGAAGTTATTTTTCGCGTTATACGCCCAATGCGCGACAATACCTTGGTTTTAAAAGAGGTTGTTTTATTTTCGAATTTAACTTCTCTCTTTGCCCGACTGTACCCAGCATCTCCTGTTATAGCCATGGCAATGAATTATGTATTTACCCTGCAGCAAAGCGGCCGGGGCGTGAATATAACTGCTCACCTCCATCTAGTCCCGAGGTCAAGAATGGTACAGGAATATCTCTTCTACTGCACACGACTTTATGGCGTGGTGCTTAACTAATTAAGCACAAGGAAAAATTTACCCTACTTTTGATCTAATTTCTTGATATGCGTGTTATTTCTATTTCTCTCCTTTACTGACAATCAGACTGTACAATCTATAAGTCAACGTGCTGATTGGTGTAGAATTTAATAACTATTTATTGTACACTCTTCTGGCGTGTGTGGAATAAATATCAAGTGGTGTTTTCCTGAGTTCGTTAGATCTGATGGCCAAATTCTTTTGAGTCGTCGATTTTCATGGCGTTGTAGTAGTGGTTGAAGAAGTGGTTTGGAGTGATTTTCTAGTTTGCTGAAGTACTTGGTGCTGTTCTCTCGGATGACTTCTGTTACGTAAGGAGTTTATAGAGCTGTATGTAGGGTGCGGTTGGATACATACCATGGTGCGTTCGTGATGGATCGGAGTATTTTGGACTGGGCACGTTATATAATGGCGATGTTGGATTTGTTGGCGCAGCCCCAGAGCTCTATGCCGTATGCCCATATAGGCTTCATGACCGTTTTGTAGATTAGTAACTTGTTTTCGATGGAGAGGTGGGATTTTCTTCCTACGAGCCAGTTGGGTTCTTTGGTCTTTTGGTCCATCTGCTTTCTTTTTTCGATTATGTGTTGTCTCCAGTTTAGCTTGTTGTCAAAGGTTATGCCTAGGTATTAGACCTGTTCGTTGTATGTTGATGTGATTCATTTGCAATATGGGGCAAGTGCCTTTTAGGAGGGTGAAGGTTGTTTGTGTGGACTTTGATTCGTTTACCTTCATTTTCCATTTGTTTAGCCACGCTTCTATGAGGATTGCACGATCTTGTAGATGAGAGAAGGCTGCGGTTGGATTGCCGTGGGTAGCGAAGATAGCAGTGTCATCTGCAAAAGTTCCTATTGTCGTTTTGTTTGTTGTGGGTAGATCATGTGTGTAGAGAGTGTATAATAGTGGGCTTAGTAAGCTTCCTTAAGGCGTCCCTGAGTGGATTTCCTCATTTGTTTTGACTGCGAAAATCTATCTCTTAAATATGACTTGAATAAGTTGTAATTATTTG